CCTCCTCCTCCTCCTCCTCCTCCTCCTCCTCCTCCTCCTCCTCCTCCTCCTTCGGTCGCCTACGGCCCAGGGGAAACCGTGCAGGAATGGGGGCAGACGTTGGAGGGATTCGTTGGCGTCCTCGCCTATGATGCTCCGATCTACTTCAGCCTTGATCACCCGAGAGAATTCCGAGCACCGGGAAAGTATCGAAAGTGGAAGGTTCTTACATGTGGGGCCCTTGCAGACGATAATCGTTCGACGCTTCGCTGGCGTGTCGGGCAGACCCTGTTTCGATAGATTTCTGGGTGTTCGAAAGTATTTCTGGGATGTGGTTTTTGAGTACGATGGGAACCACATAATTCTTCGCCTCGGGATGCTTCCCAGCACATGCGCTTCGCCGAGAGTTTTCTGGGGGTGCCCGGATCGCTCCAGACGGCCTCCGAAGGCCCGAGTTGTGGCCAGAGAGCCAGACTCCAGACAGATGGGATGGTTTAATTTTGGCGTTTCTGCTCGATTTCGGCCCCCGGGAGTTGGGCGATGTGGGGCCCCAAGGTCATCAATAAGAGGCCGCTTGCCATCATATTCAGGCACATTCATTTGCACGGCATTTCCCATCCACCTTATGCGCAGATGTTCCTAGCAGCGCTGAGCCGAAAGCGAACGATAATAACTCGCACATTGCCAGAAGTCCAGATTTTCTTTCGGGCCTCGCCACCCGCTTCCCCCACCACGCACGGCAACTTGCCTGAATCGACAGAGCTTCTAGCCTGCGTGGTCCCCAACTATTTTGTTCCTAGCTGTATATGGGATGCAATGTATGTGGAGCCACCTACGTTGTGCAATCGACCTGGTGCCATGTATGTTGTGCAATTAGTTTTTGTTCGCAATGAGCTGTCAAACCCGCAACTCGCGCAATCATCCCACCCACCCGCTCGCAATTTGGTTTGCATATACCCATCCGGCGGCAATTGTGCTGAGTGCTTGGCGTTGGCTGGAACATCTCTGCGGCCGCGCCAGCCCGCGCATGCTCGCGCGCGTAGCGGCCAGCTAGTTTGGCGCGACCGACGCGGCCGCGGTGGCGCTGACCACTATGCACTTCAAGCGGGCACTTCAGTGCGAGTCGGCGAGTTGGGCGGGCGCGGTATCATGGCAACGTCGACAACGGTAGACACGAGGATGATAGTAGCGATGCTGGTGACGATGATGGCAAAGACGACGGCAAGGCCAGTGACGGCGCCGATGTTGATCACGCCGACGACGATAACAGCGTCCCCGCGTCGGCGATGAAGGTTTTGGAAAGAATTCGACGTGCGCGCGCGGCCGACGCGCGAGAGCGGCCAGCATGGCATTACTTGACACGGATCGCACCACCCCCGGCGCGCGCGCAAGGGCGTTCGAATGATCTCGACATGCGGCGCGAGAGGCCCGTTTGGCAGAATTCAACGCCTTTGTAGAAAATCCATTGTTTTCGTTAGAATTCACAAAAGCGCGAGCGCAGGTTGTTTTTAAAACTGTCGTTGCAAGACCATGTGTTTTACATGTGTTCGGGACATTCGATTTTGGAATCCTGGCGAAACCCAAAATTTTTGAAGGATTGCGGCGCGCGCGCGCGACGACGCGCGGGCGCGTGCACTTCGTCTCATTTGTTGCAAAGGAATCGACAACACGCGCGCAGGGGCGTTCGAACGATTTCGACACACGCACGAAAGGCTCGTTAGGTAGCACGTCACGAAAATGTTGAAAACAAAACGACTGGTTTTCGCAAGAAGTCGCAAAAGCGCGGGAGCAAGCTTTTCCCTATAAGCAAAACCGTGTTTCGATATCACGTGCTTAAGTTTTGTTTTAGGGGCACTCGATTCTAAAATCTCTGCGGCGCCGAAGGTTTTTAACGGATGTTGGCATGCGCGCGCGGCGAGGCGCGCGCTTGCACTTCGCACCATATGTTGCAAGGGGTTCTTGGAAACCGCTGACGTTTGATAAACGAGTGCGCGCGCATTGCATTTATTGTCACGGATGAGGGAGGCGGTGCCAGCCTGCCCGGGCTGGTGCGACTTCATATTTAAGATGGGCGATGGGCCCGGATCGCATGTAAATTGCAGTACGAAGCACGGAACCGTTCATTCCGCGGGGGATGCCATTATTCTTTGAGAAAGGGTTAATTCCGGGGCGGGGAGGGGGGAGAAAATTTGCTATTATTGTAGAAGACGGGCATCTAGGTTGTGCAATCCAGTTTGATGAGTATGCGCGGTGAAACCCACGTCGAGCAACCTATGTTGTACAATATAGGTTGTGTAATACCACGCTGTGCAGTATAATGTACGCGATCTATGTTGCACCGTCTACGATGTGCATTTTTTTTCTGACGAATATATGTTGTGCAAACCATATGGTAACACTTGACACGTGGTGCAACACACGTGGCGCAATGTATGGTGCACTAGGTATGTGGCGCAGCTCGTTGCAAAGTATGTGGTGCAATATATGCTGTGCAATCTATATCGCGCGCAATGTACGCTGTGCTGCTTATGTTGCGCAATCGACGCGGTGCACGATATGGCATTCAGCTGTGCGGACCAAGGCCATGGCACCCCCCCGTCGGGCGCGAGTCTCGACGAGGCGTTCCGAGCACCAAAATGGCGTGATGGTCGGAACCAAAAACACACGTTTCTTCTCAGACGCCCAACTGCGAGCCCGCATCGGCGCGCGAGGCGCGCGGATGGCGGGCGGCGGAGTTGACGTGGACGCGTTTGACGTTTTGGTTGGGCGACCAGCACGGTTGGCGCACGAGCCGTCGCAAGAGGCGCCGCGCCCAAAAGGACTTTGAATTCCACTGGCGCCAATAGTAGCCGAGAACCTGGACACGTCGACGCAGCAGTTCCATGCCAGATGCGACGAGCTCCTGAAGGCCAACAGCACAGAGGCCAGGGAGTTCATGGCCAAGCTCGAGGTGCACGAGGGCAAAGGGGACGGGGAGCTGGAGCCTCAGCGGCCCAAAGCGAGACACCGTGGCCCCCGAAGCACACGCAGCACCGCAACAGACTGCTGGCCAAGAAGAAGCACGTGGAGGCGACCGATGCAGGGGAGGAGGAACCGACAGATTTCATTGAATCGACAGCAGATTGACGAGTGCAAAGTGACGCGTGAGGCGGCGAATTCCTTGGTCGCGCTGGCCCGCCAGGCCGCGAGCGCACTCGAGAGGGCGAAGAAGACAGTGGCAGCGGCGGCGGAGAAGGCAGATGCCGCCCAGCAGGCGTTGCTGGGGGGCGCACGAGGCACTGGAGCGGGCCCGCCAAGCGGACGCGGCTGCGCAGGCCAAGCAGATGGACGTCAAAGCCAGGCCGCGGGGAGAGGTGGTCGCCAGACCCTAGGCAGCGGCGAACAACGGAGATGCAGCCTGGGCCATCTATTTGGGAGCAGCTGGCGCGCAAGTTAGGCGCGCCGTGCGAGGACTTCGCCGTCGCAGGGCCCCTCGGCAGGCTGGCGCCAGCGCCAAAAAAGCACGCAGCAGAGCAGGATGCCAATGACGCGTCTCCCCCATCATAAGCCAGTTGGTCCAGAACGCCAGCGGCCAGCAACAGCAGCGGCAGCAGCAGCAGGCATGGGCGTTGATCCGGAACCGTTACCAGACCTCACCGACGCAGAGATGGCATGGCTGGTGGACGAGAGCCAACGAGCAGACCCAGTCGACCAGCCCGAGAAGCACAAGCGGTGGATGGAGGTGCACCAAGAGGCGCCCGCGGACCACGCTAATCGGGCGCGGCGGGGGTGATGACCTCTTGTGATTGGTGCTCCACAGGCAGGAGCTCGGATTCGCCGTGTCTTCGGCAAGGAACACGACGGCGCAGTACCTGAAGCAGGAGGGCCTGGCACCTGCGCGGCCAGGGGCAGGATGGGGGCCGCAGGGCTGGCGCCCCGAAGCAGAGGAGCAGGCTGCGGAGGCCCGCTGGCGCACGGCTGGTTTAGAAGAAGCCATTGGATTGCGCCAGACGGAAGCCGTGCACCACGCTAGCGGGACAGCAGCCCAGGCGAGGCGCCCAGGCAGCCCGAGATATCGCACCAAAAAAGGCGAAGGTGGGCGCGATCGAAATCTGGACCTTCGACGGCTCAGGTTGGGGGGCGCATCGAGCCAGGTTGCTGCCGGGTCGCTGGGGGGCGAGGCGGCAGGGCGACGGCGACGCTGCTCCGCCGCGCTCGAGACCAGGCCGCGCAACGATATGTCTCCCATGGCACGGGCGCTCGCAATGCAGGAGCGCCGGAGGCTGGCGCCAACGCGCCTGCCGCAGTCACGAGCGACTGGCGGCCAGGAGGCGGGGGCATCAGCTAGGGCGGCGGCGGCAATGCCAGCTCGCATCGGCATGGCACACCTGGCTGGGGCCACCGAAGGGGGCATCTCCCCATCAGGTAGCAGGGGCAGAGCGGCCATGGCGCGGGCGGCCACAGGCAAGGGGCTCATCATTAGAATCACTGACAGCGTTTACGCGTGGACAGGCAAACGTCTGAGTGACCGTAACGAGCACCTGCTGAGCCGCGCGTTGGGGCTGCTGCGGGAGACGGGCTTGCCGTGGACCATCGGGGGGGATGCCCAACAGACGCCGAAGGAGCTCCAGCGCAGCCACGGCGCGCAGCGAGCAGGAGCCATCATCGCGTGCCCAACGACCTCCCTGGGCACGCGCAGGATGCGCCGGGAGGAGGTCCCATCAACTACTTCGCGGTGGACGCGGCGTTGGAGGAGCGCCGACACAGCGCGCGGATTGACGAGGAGCGGCTGACAACGCCGCACAAGCGAGTCGGCCCGAGGCTCCGCATCCGGCCGACCGAGGGATGGAAGAAGGACGCCGCCTCGCACTAGCGGGCGCCAAGAGGCACCGCCAGGGCCCCTTCGGCGACGCGCAGAATGGGAGCAGGCCATGTGCAGGATCGAGCAGGGGGCGCCTAGCCCGAAGGGGAGGTGCCCGGTCGCCGCAGGCCCCCGAAGCGGGCGGGGAGGGCCCGCCCAACTTCTGCAGCCACAGGGCGGCGGAGAGGAGGAGGAGGAGGAGGAGGAGGAGGAGGAGGAGGAGGAGGAGGAGCAGCAGGAGGAGAAGGAGGAGGAGGAGGAGGAGGTGGAGGTGGAGGTGGATGGGGTCGCCGGGAGGAGGGCGTGCCCTCGCCCGTGCTGCACGCGGCGCGGGCCGCCGGCCGCGCCCCCCCCCAGTGCAAACAGAGAACGGTGGAGAAGGAAGGAGGAGGAGGAGGGAGGAGGAGGAGGGGGAGGGGGAGGATGGAGGAGGAGGAGGAGGAGGGAGGGGGAGGGGAGGGGAGGAGGAGGAGGAGGAGGAGGAGGAGGAGGGGGATGGGGGGAGAGGAGGAGGAGGGAGGAGGAGGAGCGGAGGAGGAGGGAGGCGCTGGAGCGCGCGCTGGGCAAGCTGGAGCTGGCCCACAGCAAGTCTTCGATCCCTGGCACGCATCGCGCCCGCGCGCGGGCACCACAAGACCAATTCGGGAATTGAGTCGGGGAAGTGCAGGTCGTGAGGCTATCGCTATCGCTATCGCTATCGGCTCGATGTCCGGTCGGACGCAGCCGTCCGCGCGGCCGGAGCTACGCGCGCGCGCCCTAGGCGCGTGGGGGGGGCCCCCCCCCCCGACACAGACCCCCGCCAGGAGGGCAAAGTGAAGGCCGCCTTGGCTTCGAAAGGGGAGGGGCGGGGGCCGAAAAGGACCGAGAAAAAAGGGCCCAGGAGTTTCGGGGACGAAGAAAGAGGATGACATGATGGCGGATGAGGGAGAGGCCGCATGGGGGTGGCAAGATGGAGCGGGAGGAGGGGGCACATTAAAGGCCTGATGAGGAGGTCATGAGGCATGCCATTTCCCACTCGTCAATGTAATGTTGCTTTATGCCTTTGAGCCCCTTGACCTTTCCGAGGACTGGGGCTTCCTTGACGTAACCTTCAATTGCAGCTCTGGTCGCGAAGGGAAATCACTTAGTAATATTGCGCGAATGCGAAACTCCATTGCTCGAGGGCCAGGCTTTGCACGTTGAACATGGGGAGACGCATTGGGAGAGATATCGTGGGAGACAGCTGGATCGAAACCAATTGCCCTGGCCAGCCCAACCAGCCAGCCCAACCAACCCACCCAGCACAGCCACCCAACCAGCTCAACCAACCCAACCAGCCCAACCAGCCACCCAGCCAACCCGCCCAATCCCCCCGCCTGCCCTCCGTCACCGCCGAGAGGGGAGGGGAAGTCTCTTACCAGCGACAACCAGAAAAATCACCCTCCCGAGGTCTGGCAGGACAGCGGGGAAAGGGCAATTCGCACCGATTTGTGGGGGGGCAAGATTCGCGCCCAGTGGCCCCCGAGACGGTTTGGAGTCTCAAGCGCGGCATTGTCGTCGCCGTTTTAACATTCACTGCGCCCCGCTTCTAAACAGAGAGGCTCCCATCCGTGAAACTGTCGTTACAGTTCAGCCCCCGCGCGAAGTCTCTTAGAGGGCCCCAGGCGGCCGCAGGAGACCCCAGGAGACCCCAGGAAGCCGCAGGAGGATTTTTCACGCGGGGCCCCAGGAGTCCCCAGGAATTCTCAGGAGGTCGCAGAAGGCCCCAGGAGACCCCAGGTGGACCACCTATGGGGGAAGCGCAAGGAGGTCCCAGGAGGGTCGCGGAAGCCATAGGAGGCCCCAGGACGTCCCTTGGTCTATCGCGCGGGAAGGACAAGGAAGAGGATGCTGAGAAAGAGGAGAAGGAGGAGGAAGAGAACGAGGATGAGGAAGGTTGAACAGCAGGGTGGATGAGGAGGAAGCGAGGACGAGCACTAGCAGAGGGAACCACGCTCGCCCTAACTTGCCCTCCTGCGCACTCATATGTAGGGGGTCGATACCGCTGCGCACGCCTCGGAGATGACAAGAGGCGGCAAGCCAGGAGGGTGACAGTATGACTCCCCAACAAATAAACTTCACCCAATTGGTTTCTACACCCGCGAAGGGCGCTACAGGGTGTGTGTGTGTGTAAGCATATATAGAGAGAGGAAGAAAATATGAGAGAGAGAGAGAGAGCGCGCGCGCGCGAACCAAAGCGCGGAGCCGCCCCCGCAACGAAAGTGCACGGGAGCCTGAACGCGAGCGACAGAGAGGCAGGGAAAAAGACGGGGAGACGGAGACAGAAAGAGAAAGAGATAGAGAGAGAGAGAGAGAAAGAGACAGGCAGCCAGACAGACAGACAGGTAGGCAGTGACAGCTAGTCAGACGGAAACAAGCAGAGAGTCAGACAGACAAGGCAGACAGGCAGACACATGGATAGACAGACAGACAGACAGCCGTACAGATAGACAGGCAGGCAAACAGAGACATGGAGGCAGACAGATGCAGACGGATGGTTGGAAACAGCGAGATTTGCAAACGACCCATTTGGGCCACCCCGAAAGAGTTACAGGTACCTCGACGGCACCTCCGGTGCTTTTGTTCAACCCGCTCTCGGAGACGCACGCGCACACGGGTTCACATCGGCTTCGAGAGAGTGCGCTACGCGAGCGATCCGTGACATTCGAGCGGCTCCGTGAATTGGGTGTTCGTGTACGGTGGCTTGGGCGCGTACGTCTGATTGGGGCTCCCTCGGCGGGTGGGTGGGTGGGGGGGGGGCGCCATCTAAGAAGCAGGTGGGCTTCTAAGAAGCCTCCCCCCCTACCCCCATACGCGCGTGGTGATCGTTGCCTGATTCATTGTTTTGCCGATCGGCACGGGCCCTCGCACCCCCCCCCTCCCCCCCCCCTCCTCGAGTAGATCTTGGCTGGTTTGAGCGCCTGTTTCGAGCAGGTGGGGTCTCCCCGCAGGACGCACTCCTGCAAGCAGTGGCATTGAGCAGAGGTCCCGAGCCAGACCCCCCCCCTCCCCCCCCTCCCTTCCGCCCAGTGTCGAAACGCCGAATAAGACAACGCTCACGCGGCCGAAGGAAGCAGCAAGACCCGAGGGCCCTCCTTCGCTCCGCCTCCGCCTTCGCCTCCTCCTCTTCCTCCTCCTCCTCCTCTCCCTCCTCCTCCTCCTCCTCCCTCCTCTCCTCCTCCTCCCTCCTCCTCCTCCTCCTCCTCCTCCTCCTCTCGTCCTCGTCATCCTCCTCCTTCTCCTCCTCCTCCCTCCTTCCTCCTGCTTCCTTCCTTCCTTCTCCCTCCTCCTCCTCCTCCTCCTCCTCCCCTCCTCCTCCTCCTCGCCCTCCTCCTCCTCCTCCTCCTCCTCCTCCTCCCTCCTCCTCCTCCTCCTCCTCCTCCTCCTCCTCCTTTCCTCCTTCCTCCTTCCTCCTTCCTCCTTCTTCCTCCTTCCTCCTTCCTCCTTCCTCCTTCCTCCTCCCTCCTCCTCACTCCTCCTCCTCCTCCTCCTCCTCCTACTCCTCCTCCTCCTCCTCCTCCTCCCTCCTCCTCCTCCTCCTCCTCCTCCTCCTCCTCCTCCTCCTCCTCACTCCTCCTCCTCCTCCTCCTCCTCCTCCTCCTCCCCTCCTCCTTCCTCTTCCTCCTCCTCCTCCTCCTCCTCCTCCTCTTCTCCTCCTCCTCCTCCTCCTCCTCCTCCTCCTCCTCCTCCTCTCCTCCTCCTCCTCCTCCTCCTCCTCCTCCTCCTCCTCCTCCCTCCCCTCCTCCTCCTCCTCCTCCCTCCTCCTCCTCCTCCTCCTCCTCCTCCTCCTCCTCCTCCTCCTCCTCCTCCTCCTCCTCCTCCTCCTCCTCCTCCTCCTCCTCCTCCTCCTCCTCCTCATTTGTCCTTCGCCTCCTCCTTCGCCTCCTCCGCCTTCGCCTCGCCCTTCGCCCCCGCGGCTCCCCTCGCCCCTGCGGCCGCCCGCCGTCGCCGCGCGCCTCGGAGCGCCCAGCCCCCGCGCAGGGACTCTCGCGGCGTTCGCCGCCGCTGCTTGGAGGAGGAGGAGGAGGAGGAGGAGGAGGAGCAGGAGGAGGAGGAGGGGGAGGAGGAGGAGAAGGAGGAGGAGGAGGAGGAGGAAGAGGAGGAGGAGAAGGAGGAGAGGAGGAGGGAGGAGAGAGGAGGAGGAGAGGGGAGGAGGAGGAGGAGGAGGGGAGGGGGAGGAGGAGGAGGAGGAGGAGGAGGAGGAGGAGGAGGAGGACAAGGAGGAAAAGGAGGAGAAGAGAGAGCAGGAGGATCCACTTGCCCTCCGAAGCCCCCCTGGCCTACAGTCAGGAGCATTTGTTGAGCGCGTCGCGCCGCTGGTTCTGGCCCACCGCGCGTCGGCGCGACGCGCAGGGCACGTCGCAGTCCTCAAGTATCAACGTTCCGAGCTTGTCCCAGCCTCCCGTCCCACGAAGTGGGGCGACACGCTACGGTGGGGCGGTCGTGAAGGAATGTGCCCAGGAGGCTTCAGGCCTTGGAGGGCTCCTCATCTGATGAGGGTGGCGGCGATATCCATGGCCAATCCGCCAAGCCCTAATTGGAGTTCCGCCGACTTCCAAATCCTGGATTCCTGATCCAATGGTTCCTTATCCAATGCCTTCACCGCATCAGCGCCCAAGGCCCAGCGGGCCGCCGCCGCGGCACGCCAAGCAGCAAAATTCTAGACGCTTCGCGTATCCCCACCAGCCCCTCCCTGGGTTGCAGCTTGCACGACCGTCTCAGGTGACTGATTTTTCAGACTCCCTGGGCTTGCACGACCGCCTGGCCTCTCAGACGCCCTGGGATGCCGCTGCTTTGCCGCCTGATCCGCGGCCCCGCGCGCGCCCGGGAATTTAGTCGCGGCCGCAGCCCGACCGTGACTGCTCGCCGCCGGCGCTTCCGCCTGCGGCTGTAAAAAAAAAAAAGTATCCCCACCAGCCCGTCCAGAAACGACGCCCAGGCGAGTAGAGGGTCGTCCTGAGGGGCTTTTCGGCGTCTTGGGTGCCTCGGGGGGGCCTCTTTGGGCCGTTTGGGATCCTCTTGGGGGCCTCCTGGGGGCCTCTTGGGGCC